TAAATTTGAGCTTAAGGGTGCTTTCACACCTGGCTCGTTGTTTCGGATCCTGTTTCGGATCCCCCCCCATAGCTAGGTTCGTTTGGGCATATGTGAACTCTACAATCGCGCTCGGATCCACGCCAAAAAAAATAATCTGGAGTGGTTCGGTTGTAGTGAGAAAGCAATCCGATCTAACAGACCAATGAACCAGGCTATATCACATTGTATAATGGGTAATTACGTAAATTCTGTGAAAAGCATTAGCTTTGTTGTTTTGCTAATACTTCAAAATGAACCTGTGAATGGCTGTGGGTGAGCACGTCTTCGCCATTCAAAATAAAAAAGTGCACTTTCATTTTTTTTTTTTTCTTAAAGTCAGCATGGTTACAAATGTGATACTGATTTTATACAACAGTTCAATAAACAAGTTAATATTAAGAGATTTGCATTTTAAACGCCATATTTCCATATTTTCTCCATCAAAAATCATTCCAAACACAGCCACAGGGCTGTTTTGGGTCACTAAGCATCATGAAGGTGTTTTGTTCCAGAATGAATCAAATGAATCAGCCGTTTAAATGATTCGGTTCAATCGCAGTGACTCACTTAATAGTGACTTGCTGCCACCTACTGGCGGCTTTAATTTCACATTTAAGGTACCTTTTAATAATTTTTTAAATTTCGAACATCAGTTAATGTTTTGTTTACTATATCAAAACATTATTTATGCTTTTGTAACTGCAGGTTAAAGTATTCCCTGTCCCTCAGAGCTGCGTTAAACCATGTAAATGCATCTAAATGCCACTTCTAATGCAGCTTCTGTGTTTCCTCTGCATTGCAAAGATCAATTTTATGTCTTTAATTGATTTTTCTTTGCCATATTGCCATATGTACATTAACTGACAATCATCACTGATAAGCTACCACTAAATATTGTAGAAACTTAATTTGTTGCTTTGTAGCTTTGTAATGATTTGTATTGTGAAAAGCGCTATACAAATAAACTTGAATTGAATACTGATTTAATTTGCTTGGTAACAGCCCAAATGCAAGAATTTGACTCAAAAGATGGTGCACACTTTTAGAAAAAATTGATAAAACTGCCCATAAAACTTGTTGGAAATTATCACTGCTGTGAACTGACCACACAGAATATGAAGAATATCAAAAAATTCAGGAGTCTGCTGTCAGCACAATTTAGAGAAGATATCAGCACAATAAAACACTCAGCAAAATATTGTCTAATCGTTATCGAGATCCTTTTTTTTGTCAATCACACACCCCTAATTTGTTTAATTTATACAATAATTTATTTATAATTGTTTAAATTAATATAACTAATACTTTTGACTCATCTGTTTTCTTAAATGGTTTTAAAGGGTAATAAAGGCTGAAATGTGAAGTGTACAATTTTAGAAAACTTAGTGGAAACTTGTATCTGAACGAAGTTATGCTTTTTACAGTTTAATATGGTACTAAAGGCATTGCCCTACCCCGCTCATATGGTATTAATTTTATTTGTGCAGGTCTTAAATTTGAGCTTAAGGGTGCTTTCACACCTGGCTCGTTGTTTCGGATCCTGTTTCGGATCCCCCCCCATAGCTAGGTTCGTTTGGGCATATGTGAACTCTACAATCGCGCTCGGATCCACGCCAAAAAAAATAATCTGGAGTGGTTCGGTTGTAGTGAGAAAGCAATCCGATCTAACAGACCAATGAACCAGGCTATATCACATTGTATAATGGGTAATTACGTAAATTCTGTGAAAAGCATTAGCTTTGTTGTTTTGCTAATACTTCAAAATGAACCTGTGAATGGCTGTGGGTGAGCACGTCTTCGCCATTCAAAATAAAAAAGTGCACTTTCATTTTATAATACCGTCTTATTGCTCTTCTTAGTAGGTGCATTTTAAAAATGTTTTCCCGATGAATCCTGGACTCCTGCTCAAAATAATAAATAAGGACAGCTACCAAAAAAACCTGTTGTTGTTCCTTCCTGACGGATGAGAGCCGTGACTGCTAAGTGGAATCCCGGAAAATAAACTGGAACTGACCAATGAGAGGACAGTTTACTCGCGCGTGACTTGTATTAACAAATTTGGTCTGTTTAGAAACTTTGCTGTGTGAAAGCGAACTGCACAAAGAATAAAAATCAACGTTGTAGTAATTTTAATCCCGGTTTCGGAACAAAGCAATCGATCTACAGGTGTAAAAGCACCCTAAAAATCCTGCAGAAACCCTGATTCAAGTACATAACCTGAAAATACAACGAACATACAAACCAATTTGGGATTTACAGTTATGTACACTTACAATTATTTAATGGACAAGCATATAGTGGTGAACTAAAGTTAATTTGAGTTATAGCAAGAAGTTTGTATTTTGCAAAGATAATAACCCAAAGCATTTTGTATGAAATTCAAATATAACAATTTTGGAAGATTTACCATGCTAATAACCGTGGAAATGTGTCATTACAATCCATAAAAAGGGTTTGTCGTGTTTTGTTAAACTTTCTGCTTAAGATCTGTTCTATAGACAAAGCATGCAATTAATTTTCATTAAAACAGCCATGTTATATTTACAAAAATAAATTACACCTTACGTGCGTCTTGTCCATTGATGATAGCCATGTCTCAGGTCACATGTGAATTATGGATCGCCTTTTCACAGGCGTCCAATCACAGCTGACTTCCGGAAAAGGTGAAATAACCAATGGCGTTTGAGATTACAATTAAAACAGCAAGTCCCGCCCCACGACTGACAAAAGCAGCAGGTGAAAAAAAAAGGGGAATGATCACGCGTGCGCGATGAGACATCCTCGCTCACGAGGGCTTGTATTGTGTGCACAGTTGATGTGCGCTTGAGTGTTTAAAAAGAGCTTGCAGGCTCCCGTTTCCTCATGCGTGGATCGGTTATCCTCTCGCAGAAGCAATTTACCGTGCACGTAAACATAACTGGTGCACTCGGTTCTTTTTGGCATTGATTTGCCAGCATAGTAAGGCACTTAACAAGCCTGATAGGTGTTCATGCTGTATTTCCACTGCGTGGTACGGCTCGGCACGACTCGGTACGTCTCGGTTTGCGTTTCCACTGCAGTTCAGTAGATCTCAATCCCACAGAGAACCTGTGGTCAGTCCTCAAAAGGCAAGTGGACAAGCCGAAGCCCACAAATTGTGATCAACTCCGAGAACTAATAAGGCGAGAATGGATCACCATCAGTAAAGATTTGGCCCAGTAGCTAATATCCAGCATGCCAGAGCGAATCGCAGAGGTTAGTAAGAACTAAAGCCTTTAAGAAAAGCCTTTAAAACTTATGATATGCTAATCATTGTTTTTCAGTATATATAACATGTGGAAAAATAATCTACAAATACTGAAGCAGCAAACTTTGCAAAACACAAAATTTATGTCACTGCCAATACTTTTGGCCATGAACTTGAATGCAGCAAATAACAAACAGGCATCCACAACTTACCATTTCTTTTCAGAAGCAGTTAAAACATTTGGTTTACTGTCAAGGTGTGCATAGTAACAAGAAAGAAACTAAAAACACAAATTGTATGCTTGTAAATATATTAAATTTATTTTTTTTATTTTTAACGTAAGGGTGAGGGGAGACCAAGGAGTGTTATTTGCTGCATTCAAGTACATGACCTGAAAAACCAATTTGGGATTTACAATTATGTACACTTACAATTATTTAATGGACAAGCATATAGTGGTGAACTAAAGTTAATTTGAGTTATAGCAAGAAGTTTGTATTTTGCAAAGATAATAACCCAAAGCATTTTGTATGAAATTCAAATATAACAATTTTGGAAGATTTACCATGCTAATAACCGTGGAAATGTGTCATTACAATCCATAAAAAGGGTTTGTCGTGTTTTGTTAAACTTTCTGCTTAAGATCTGTTCTATAGACAAAGCATGCAATTAATTTTCATTAAAACAGCCATGTTATATTTACAAAAATAAATTACACCTTACGTGCGTCTTGTCCATTGATGATAGCCATGTCTCAGGTCACATGTGAATTATGGATCGCCTTTTCACAGGCGTCCAATCACAGCTGACTTCCGGAAAAGGTGAAATAACCAATGGCGTTTGAGATTACAATTAAAACAGCAAGTCCCGCCCCACGACTGACAAAAGCAGCAGGTGAAAAAAAAAGGGGAATGATCACGCGTGCGCGATGAGACATCCTCGCTCACGAGGGCTTGTATTGTGTGCACAGTTGATGTGCGCTTGAGTGTTTAAAAAGAGCTTGCAGGCTCCCGTTTCCTCATGCGTGGATCGGTTATCCTCTCGCAGAAGCAATTTACCGTGCACGTAAACATAACTGGTGCACTCGGTTCTTTTTGGCATTGATTTGCCAGCATAGTAAGGCACTTAACAAGCCTGATAGGTGTTCATGCTGTATTTCCACTGCGTGGTACGGCTCGGCACGACTCGGTACGTCTCGGTTTGCGTTTCCACTGCAGTTCAGTACTGCTTCAGAGTGGGCGGGATTATTCACATGTCGTTATAGTTGCGCCGCCTCTATTGCTGCGACTCCTGAAAAACTGTTTTATTCTGCGTCGCCCCATGAAGCTCTCGCTAGATCCGCTCCTCTGCTATCAACGAGAGGAACGTCTGTACTTCCGCAACAGACAACAAAACAGCCACCTTTTGGTTGTTAAAGGTGCGCTTGTTCAAAACAGTTGCATTCGATCCTTTGCTGTCTGTGCTGATTTAAATCTAGTGGTTCTGTTGTGTTTGTGTAGCAAGTTCAGTGACGCAGGTAGTGACTATTCTCTCCGGCCAATCCATGATCTGCAGAGTTTACACGTCACGTTTTGGTAACGGTACGGTTCACTTGGAACCTCAACCGAGGTGGTGCTAAAAAAAAGTACCAGGTACTGTACCCAGAGGAAAACCCCCAAAAGTGAACCGTACTGAGCTGTACCATGCAGTGGAAAAGCGCACTTTGTGTACCTGTGCTGGTTTGGGGCTAAATCATGTCTTGGTGTTTCCTAAGGCTCCAAACCCAGATGATCCAGAAGATTTCCCTGCACTGGCCTAGAGCTCCTCTGGAGGTAGAGTGTGAAAACTCTTCTGCAACCCATGTTGGTAACTCTGAAATGGGCAATGTGCATCAAATATATCAAAAATAACAAGTGATCAAAAATAAAGAATGCACAAAGTTGTTTCTTTGCAGTTACTGTAATTGTCATCTTGTGTATAATTCTGAAACTTCTGCACTTGTTTGGATGTACTATTTTTAAGAGGATGGAGCAATAGTTTGATCTAAAATAAAGCATGCTGTTACAGGCATATTGATGCTGAGAGAACACTGTTAAGCATATGTAAAATCAATGTAGACTTGCGTTTCTTCAATTACTTGATTAACCAGAAGAGTTAAGGTGTATTAAAGGGATAGTTCACCCAAAACTGAAAATTCTGTCAATTACTCACCCTCATGTCAATTTCAAACCCGTAAGACCTTTGTTCATCTTCGGAACACAAATTAAGATATTTTTGATGGAATCTGAGAGCTGTCTGACCCTGCATAGACCGCAATACAACTGAAATGTTCCCAAGTCCAGAAACGTGGCAAGGAGATCGGTAAAATAATCCATGTGACATCAGGGGTTCAACCGTAATTTTACGAAGCTATGAGAATACTTTTTGTGTGCAAAAGAAAAAGAAAAAAAATTGTTTATTCAACAATTTGTCTTCTCTGCATCACCCTGTAGCGCCATTTTGGAGAATATCAGTTGGACTTAAAAGGTGTATGCTGTTCTGTGTCAGCTGTGTCACACGGATACACGGTTTTCGTTCAGATAAAATCATTATGTAGGAAACCGATCCGGCATGACACAGAACAGCATGTGTTGTTTTACGTCCAGCAGATATTCTCCAAAATGGCACCAGGGTGATGCGGAGGAGATGAATTGTTCAAGTCGTAAATTATTATTTTTTTTCTTTTGCGCACAAAGTATTCTCGTAGCTGTGTAAAATTAAGGTTGAACCCCTGATGTCACATGGATTATTTTACAGATCTCCTTGCTACGTTTCTTGACTTGGGAACATTTCAGTTGTATTGCTGTCTGTGCAGGGTCAGACAGCCCTCAGATTTCATCAACGCAGGTCTTGCGGGTTTGAAACGACATGAGGGTGAGTAATTGACAAATTTTCATTTTTGGGTGAACTAACCCTTTAAGCAAGGTGACAGTGACTTAGAAAGAATCAAACTCTGGGCTGGGTGTATCTCACAATTTGCTTAGATTTGAGGCAATTTAAAAAAAAAAAAAAAAAGGTACACTCTCCTTTGAAAGTTAGGGGTCAGTAAATGTTCTGCAAAGGACACATTAACGGAGCACTTAAAGGGTTAGTTTACCCAAAGATGAAAATTGGCTTGTGTTTTACTTGCCCTCGAAGCGTCCTAGGTGTAAATTACTGACCACTTTCAGACGAATCCAGTCGGAGTTATCTTAAAACTTGTCCTGGCTATTCCAAACTCTATCATTGCAGTCAGTGGGTGTTGCAGTTGAACAGCCCACAAGTCGTCAAAAAGCGTGCAATCATTATAAAATGTGCTTCACGCGGGGGGCTGAATAAAGGCCTTCTGAAGTGAATCCATGTGTTTTTGTAAGAAAACGTTACGTTTTCAAACGTAATAAACACTTTCTCTCACTTCTGTTATCTTTCATAAGCGGAAGGCATATGATAAGAGAGATGCTAGTCTCGCGAGTTTGTTTATAGGAGCAAAGGAAGCAACATTTCCTTACTTTAGCAAAGGAAAACCAGTCTCCTCTTGGCTTATATTGAAATCCTCCGACATTTTTCTTTGCAAATCTTCGGTTTGTACTTCTAATTCGTGACCTTTTTGTTGTCTCTCCGCATTCGACACTAATCACGCACCGCCGACGTCCTACATCATCCGCCGGAACTGCTTCAGAGTATGACAGTTGGCGGAAGTGATATAAAAGTGTTTATTACATTTGAAATATGGATATTTTTCTTACAAAAACGCGTGGATTCACTACAGAAGGTCTTTATTCACCCCCCGGAATGTTTAATATAACTGGATGATTTGAGGGTGAGTGTAAAACAAGCCTGTTTTCACTTTTGGGTGAACTAACCCTTTAACACTGTTACAAGGTTTGGTTTCTGGGAGGGGAAAAAAAGCTGTTCTTTTGAACATTTTATCTAAGAATCCTGAAGGTACCAGTTTCCACAAAAATCTTTTTATAGATAGTGAAAACCTGTCATTACAGTTATTAGCATGGTAAATCTTCCAAAATTGTTATATTTGAGTTTTTCATACAACACAATGCTTTGGGTTATATTAACTTTGCAAAATACAAATAAAATAAAACAAAGTCAACTTATTGCAATAACTCAAATGAACTGTAGTTCACCACTATATGCTTGTCAATTAAATAATTATACGTGTACATAATTGTAAATCCCAAATCAGTTTGTATGTTCTGTTAAAGGCATATTAATGCTGAGTGAACACTATGTTAAGCATTTAAGCATATTAAAATAAATGTACACAAATCTGAAGCAACACAACTGTACACGTTTCTTGTGCAGCAAGTCATATTAGAATGATTTTTGGAAGGATCTTGTGACACTGAAAATGTGAGTAATGGCTGCTGGAAATTCAGCTTTGCCATGAAAATAAATTATATCAAATATAAACTTGCATCAAAATATTTTTAAGATGTTAAAATCAAATATATTATTTCAAATAGTAGTATTTCACAATTGTGGTGTTTTTACCATATTGAGCAAAATAAATGCAGACTTGGTGAGCCTAAAACTTTCAAAATATATATATATATATATATAAAAAAAAACTTACATACCCCAAACTTCTGAGTGGTTGGGTGTGTGTGTGTGTATATATATATATATATGAACTGAATGGTAAAAATAATTTTGAGAGAGAACATTGGTCATTTTGAATTCCTCAAATAGAGTTAATGAATATAGGTCATAAATAGAATTAAAAAAAAAAAACTCTTCGCTGTTGTCTACTCTAAACCATTTGATCTCAGCTTTTTTTTTAGTGCAGTGCTTCTCTTCACCACCAGGGTGCGTAATACCCCAGAGAATAAGTGAAATCGGATTATTGTGGCTGCCAGTAGGATGTCCATTGTACTTCTACTATAGCTGTGTCTCATTTAGAAGGCTGCGTCCTCCGGAGGTCGCATCCTCTGAGAGAACATTGGTCATTTTGAATTCCTCAAATAGAGTTAATGAATATAGGTCATAAATAGAATTAAAAAAAAAAACTCTTCGCTGTTGTCTACTCTAAACCATTTGATCTCAGCTTTTTTTTAGTGCAGTGCTTCTCTTCACCACCAGGGTGCGTAATACCCCAGAGAATAAGTGAAATCGGATTATTGTGGCTGCCAGTAGGATGTCCATTGTACTTCTACTATAGCTGTGTCTCATTTAGAAGGAGAACCACAGAGCTCTGTCCTGCAAGCCTGGCAGCAGTGAACTCTGGAATCAGATTCCTCAATGAGAACAGTAGTGAGAGAACTTCACATCTGCTGAAGTCACTTATTTTTTTCAGCATGGCTGTCCCTCCTGATTGCTCTGACACTCTTATCTTTGAGCTATAAGAGTCTTCTAAGAGTGTAGTCATATGATACACCCTGTTTTAGTCTTTGAAGAGAGTCTGGTGTTGCAAAAAAATTTAAAAAACAGGAAGGGGGCCAACACTTTTTCACACCACTGTAAATAATAGTTAATATATCACAGTCTCGCTCGAATCTTCAGTTCAGTCTCCTATTTATGTGTATATATTTTTACATTTACATTTAATCATTTAGCAGATGTTTTTATCCAAAGCAACTTACAAGTGAGAAGAGCAAATAGAAGCAATTCAGACCAATAGGAAGGCAACAGTATACAAGTGCTGTAACAAGTCTCAGTTAGTCTAGCACAGTACACATACCAGTTTTTTTTTCTTTCAAAAAAAGAGACAAATAGAATAAGAAAATGTTAGCATTAGTTAGTCCAGTGCTGACGAAAAAGATGTGTCTTTAGATGTTTTTTGAAGATGGCCAAAGACCATCTCGAATTGAGATAGGCAGGTCGTTCCACCAGCTTGGAACAGTCCAGGTGAAGGTCCGTGAGAGTGATTTCGTGCCTCTTTTGGGATGGTACCACGAGGCAGAACGCAAGCTTCTGGAGGGCGCATAAGTCTGAACTATTGAGTTTAGGTTCTTTGGTGCAGAGCCAGTGGTTGTTTAATAGGCAAGCATCAGTGCCTTGAATTTGATGCGAGTGGCTATCGCCAGTGCAAACTGATGAAGAGAGGTGTGACGTGTGCTCTCTTCGGCTTATTGAAGACCACTCTTGGCGCAGCATTCTGGATCAGTTGCAGAGGCTTGATAGTACATGCCGGAAGGCCTGATATATATAATAATAATAATGGCCCTTATATGTTGATAAAACATCAGAAGGGTACAAAATCACATTCACCAAGATTTGCCTTCATCCCTCTCTCTCTCTCTCTCTCTCTCTCTCTCTCTCTCTCTCTAGCTCATTACAATTCATATCCTCCCTTGGGTCCTACGCTGTGATTGGACAGCTGTACTAGAAGCCTTAATTCCCCTCTCACTCTCTTCTTTGTGGTGCCTCAAGGTTGTGGTAAGTAAGTGTGGAGCTCAAAGAGTCAAACCCAAAATTGATTAGGGCTTGAAGGCTAGAGCCTTTAGCAACCTTGAATCCTGAAAAGCATGTACTGCAGAGACTTTTTGACTAAGGAAATGGAGTCTGATAAACTACATGCTACTTTTGGGACTTAATTTCATTCATCTCACACAAATATATTCTACTTCACAGAACAATTGTTTACTATGAGGCAAACTGCACGAACTCTATTCTTGACACTGTTTGCTCTGAATTGATTATGCATATTGTAATATACTTGTACTATTTTTTTTTAATGCACAATTGTTGTGTGTTTTCAAATAGGCCGGTCATATCAAAGTCTTAACCCATATAATAATAATAAGCAGCTAATCAATCAGGTCTTTAGAGACGCGGGCTGCTTTTGGCCTGCAGGAAAAGGGGGCCAATCAGCAATACCCATGCTCATTATTAATTCAGTAGCTATGGGAGCTCTTGGCTCTCTATCCCCCTGAGTTTAGAGCTCTGTGTCAGCACAAAGTGCATCCA